AATTAACTCTTACTGAGATTCACCAACTAATTGAACTCTGTCTAAGCCAATGCTACTTTTTATATAAAAACGTGATTAGAACTATATCGAATTCTGGCCCTATTGGACTGTCACTTATGGTCGTTGTTGCAGAAGCATTTTTGCAACATTTAGAAACAAAAATTTGAGAGTTGCAGAAATAAATTTATTTTCACCAAACTCATTTAAACGCTATGTAGACAACAGCCATGCAAGATTTGATTCATTAGAAAAACACGACAAATTTTTGGAATTGCATTTAATTTTACGTTTGATGACGGTCTGAACTATTCAGACTGAAATATTACATAAATAAATTAAAATATTAGTACTTAGCTGTATTGTATGTGTTATAAATTAAATAAGTAAGTTATTGAGATGCCTTTTATTTGACGTTATCAAACATCTTTAACGTCGTAATGAAGCCATTTTATGACGTTCAGAATTATGCCAAATAGCAAATGGAATCGATGTCTTTTTATGACGTCATTAAAAAGATATTTTCGAGACGTCCATAAGTCGTGTTTGCAGACAAATTAAAAAAGTATGGGATCGTCCATAAATTACGCAACGCTAAATTTCCCTATTAAACAAAACAAAAAAGCTTGCAGAGAAAAGCTTAAGATAAATAAAAAAAACAAAACAACGCATAAGTATAACAAAAATCGCCGCTAAAGATCTCCTTTTTAAATGAATTTAGTGTTACGTTATTAATGGACGATCTCTAATTGAAAACATTGGTGTAAAAAAAAAAAAAAAAAAACTTTCTATCATTTTTAATGGATTATTAGTATATAAAAGAAGTTCCTTCAGTTAGTATAAAAATGACATAAATTAAGGCTCTTCTTGTGTCATTAAAAACATGATTTGGTAGAAAAATACGTATTGCCTACATATAAAATTATTCAGTTTTTTCTTTTTCCTGTATAGTTTGCGAAAATAAAGTTACATTGTTATGCACCCAAGTCTTTAGTTGTTTGATAACTTCTTTTTATTTCCTTATGCTTAATTTTTTACCCTACAGTATTTCTTAAAAATACCAGCAACAACAAAAAAAATCAAACCAAATAAACGTTTAAAATATATATTTTCGATAATTTTAAAAGAATTTTTTCAAATTAAACTTCTTGTTCCTCCTCTTGTTCATTTTAAAGAAACGACTCTTCGAAAAAATGACATCCTTTGCCCTCTTTTTATCCAGGTGCATGCTTTAGTGTAATTGCAATCACAATTTGACAGTCTTTTTTGGTGTAGTAATCGACTAAACAGTCTTAAACGTAAAATATTTTAAAAATAATATAAAGTCTTCAAAACTTTATAAGAAAAAAAATTAAAAATAAACATCATAACAATAACAAAATTCATAACAATAACCTTATAAGTAACTCATTGGATAAGAAACACTAAAAATCAAAACTTTGCTTTTTTATTTTATTAATCTTATTTAAAATTTATTCTAGATTCTGAAAATATATACATTAATTTATATTTTAAGTCAATATTTTATGTAAAATTCATTTTTTAGATGTACAGACTTTTAAGAATCTCTAAGCAACACCTTTTTTTTTTAACTAAAACTTTAGCCAACATACCAGAGTTAGAGGGTTAAATAAAACTTAGAAATAAAAACTTAAAATAAAACTTAGAAATAAAATAATATTCGAGATACGTCATAGTCTAGTAACTGTTTTTTTAAGATACTTTTAAAAGATCGGATTGAAGCTGTAGTTTGATTATTATATGGGAGAAATGAGTTCCACAAATGTGGTCCTCGGTAAGTTGAGAATTCAAATTGTTTTAACAAAGTTTTTAGTATCTAATAATTAAGCAATGAATGCTTTGTTTGATATTTATGATCTAAAATAAAGATAAGATCTTCAAAAATATTAGGTAGCATATGATATTTTAATCTAAACATGAATAAAAGAATATTATAGATATTTAATTGGTAAACATTCATCACTCCAAGCTTACGAAGCAGTGGATTAGCAATGGCGTATTTATTCGCATTTAAATTAAGGCGGCTTGCCTGTTTTTGTTTTTTTAAGATACAAGTTAGTCTTGACGGATAAGTGCTTGCTCAAGCAATGTCACAATAACTAATATAGCTATAAAGAAATGAAAAGTATATAGATTTTCAGTTTTTATCCAACATATATCTAGTTTTATACATGATACCAATACTTCTTGAAATTTTATTTTCTATTAGAATAATATGATCCTTTGAATTTATTTGCTCATCGATTAAAACGCCTAAGAGTTTAACACAGTATGTCCGTTGCAACTTGGTATTTTGTAATAAAATATCCGGGAGTTTTAAAGGCAGTATTTCAGATTTAGAGCATTTAGAAAAGAGAGTATATTTGCTTTTATTAGGCTTCAGAGAGAGTTTGTTGGCTTTAAACCATTCATTAAGGTTATCAAGTTCTCTATTCATAGTGGTAAAGATTGTCTTAATGTTAAAGTAAGTATAAAAAACTTGTAAGATCGTCTTAATGTTAGAGTAAGTATAAGATTGTCTTATCGATAGAGTAAGTAAAGATTGTCTTAATGTTAGAGTAAGTATAAAAAACTTGAGTGTCATCAGCAAAAAGAATAAAGTTTAGTATACTAAATCATAAGTTAAAATCGTTGATATAAATAATAAACAACAAAAGCCCTAGAATAGATCCCTGCGGAACTCTGCAGGTAATGTTTTCTAGTTTAGTGTAGGTTTTGTCATAAGATACGCATTGTTTGCGATTTTTAAGATAGGATCAAAACCATTTAAAATTATTATTTTAGATTCCATAAAGTTCAAGTTTGTAAAGAAGAATATCATGGTCTACAGTTTTAAAGGCCCTATAGAGGTCAATAAACACTCCAAGAGTATATTGGTTGTTTTCAAACCCGTTTAATATTTCTTTAACTAATTAAATTACTGCATGTTCTGTCGAGTGTCCTTTTCTAAATCCTTACTGATAATTATTTAAAACTTTGTGAGTTGTGAGAGAGTTGTAAAGCCTATTATGCATAATTGCTCTAGAATTTGAGAAAAACATGGGAGTATTAAAATAGGTCTGTAATTAGATAACTTTAAGATACCGCCATCCTTAAATACTGTCACAACTCTCGCTTGCTTCAAGAGATCAGGAAAAACGCCATTTTTAAATAAAAGATTAAAAATAATATGTAAGGAATTCTCAATAATGTCAAAAACTTCATTGACAACCTTACGGCTTATACCATCAAGGCCTGCGCTTTTTATTGGTTTTATCATATTAAAAGCAAACCGAAGTTCATCAAGCGATACCTCAAGCTCATCCATTACATAGTCCTTTTCTTTTAGATATGATTTATAAAATTTTTCTGGTGTTATTTTGTTTGCTAGGTTTTTACCCACGTTTATAAAAAAGTTATTTAAGCTGTTTGCAATATCTTTTTTTTCATTAGTTATTGTTCTTTCATCCTCAGTATATAAATATTTCGGTAAATAATTACCACGAGTTTTCTTTTCTTTTTCTATCACTTTCGTTATTATATCCCAAGTCTTTTTGTTATTTCCAATATTATTTTGTAATAAAGTTGAGAAATAATTTTATACAGTTTTTTTCAATAAAAAAGGTGCTAATATTAATGCTAAAAATAATAATAATTGTATCCCTCTTTCTATAGATGTTGATGATCAACTGGCTGTAGCAAATTATTTTAATAGAAAAACGTTTAAAGATTGCTCTTCTTAATGATAAATAAAAAGATGCTTTATTAAATTACGGTGTAGGTAATAATACTTATCACAAGATATTTGATGCTAAAATACGTTCAAGTAAAGCTGAGTTACTTGAAACTCTTATTAATCTTAGATTAAGTGATTATAATGATAACCCTACTAGTAGACAGCAACTTGAGAGTCATCTGGGTAAAGGTTATGAGGAAATAAATTTAAAAGACGTACCATTATCAAAAGAAATGGAGTTTTTTATTGAAGATATGTTAACAAAATTACGTTTTTTTATTAAGAAAAAATATAAAAATATAAAAGGGGTCAAAGCATCTGTTGACACTGTTAAAAAACGAAAAGACATGCTCTATGCCCATATAGATAAATTACAAGGATATTCAATAGAAGATAAAGAAGTAGATGAAATATTTATACTGACAGCTAGATTTGTTGTTTAAAATATACATTTATAAAAACAGCAATTGAAACCAACTTACGATAAAATACCAAGGGAAGAAATAGAATTTTGCGTGGCTATTTTTTTTGCTATCCATACAAAACACCAAGAATTTAATTTTGTTTATAAAGTAATACTAAATAAAACAAAGTCATTAGTCCATCTGAAAAACTCTAACGATACACTTTAAACTATATTTCCTAAAGAAACTTCTAGTACTAAAGAGACAGATATAAATGGTAAGTTTCCGAAGCCAAAAACTGGTATACAACTATCAGCTCGCAATAGTGCTGAATCAGTAATTCTTGAGAAGAATCCTTTTTTTTTAAATTTTTATAATGATTATAAGATAACTAAGAATGTTTATTCCTTAAAACAAATGGAGTCATACATATAACTAGCATTACTAATTTATCTTAATAAAGAAGCGTTAAAGCGGTTAGTGCCTAGTAATAATTTGGTATTTAAACAAAATTATGATCAAAATAAAAAATTACAAGCAGCAGTGGAAATGATGGTTTTGGATTTAACAATAATTTTTGAAAAAAATTCGCTTTTGGGAGACAATAGGCTCTTTTTAGATAAATAATTCCGATTTTAATAGGAAAAACTCTAAATAACTATTTAGCCCATGATGATGCTCTAATTGATGCTTTACCATTTGATCCATCAATAGCAGTTATTTCTAATGCTTAAAAATTGATTTTTGACGGAAAGGATTTGATTACGAAAGCAAATATTATTGGTCAAAAAATAATAGAGAATTCTTCTGAATTATATAATTATTATAACCAAAGCTTTGATCTTGTTATTATTAAAGATGAAATGTTTATTGCTCCGAGAGAAGGTAATCTTGAAAAAGTTAAAGAATATATTAGGAATAGAGCAGATATTAAAGCTAGAGATAATATTACCAAACGGACAGGAGTACATTTTGTTGTTTAGGGAAACAAAGAAGACAATGTAAAAGTACTTGAATTCTTCATTGATAAAAAATTATATATTGATTTTAAGGATATTGATGGTCAAAAGCCGTTTCATATTGCTGCTACTTGTTGAAGTAATAAAATTATAAAGTATCTAATAGAAAAAAAATAATCAAGAACTAATGATATAGACCATAAAAAGAGAACGCTGTTACATCTAGCAGCACAAAATGGTCACATAGATGTTGTTAAGAGTCTATTGCACAACAACGCCAATATAAATGCTTTAGATAAGGCTAATTGTATACTATTACCCCATGCAGCAAAAAACAGTCACAAAGAGATTGTTGAAGCTTTATTAAAAAAAGGAGCAATAATTGATGCTCGAAATAAGGGCGATAAGACACCATTACACGTAGCAATATTCTATGGTCACAAAGATATTATTGAGACTTTATTAAACAACAAAGCCAATGTTGATTCTCAGGATAAGGAAAATAAAACACCATTACATTATGCAGCATTCCAAGGTAAAAAGGATGTTGTTGAGACTCTGTTACACAACAAGGCCGTGGTGGATACTAAAATTATTAAGGATTATACATCGTTATATATAGCAGCACAAAATGGTAACAAGGATGTTGTTTGGACTTTTTTAAGCAATAAAGTCGATGTTAATGCTTCAGGAAAGAATGATTAGACACCATTACACATAGCCGCAGAATATGGTCGCAAAGAGGAAATTGAAATTCTATTAAGCCACGAATCCGAAGCCAATATTAATGCTCTAAGTAATGAGAATTGTACACCTTTACACCGTGCAGCATTGAATGGTCATGAGGAGATTGCGCAAATTTTATTGGATAAAGGAGCCATAGTTAATACTCAAGATAAATAGGATAGGACACCTTTACACTTAGTAAAACAACATGGTTACAAGGAGGTTGTTGAGATTCTATTAAATAATAAAGCTTATACTAATGCCAAATCTAAGGAGAATGATACACCATTACACTACTTAGCATACTACGGTCACAAGGATAATGTTGAGACTCTACTGAAAAACAAAGCCGATGTTAATGCTCTAGATAAGAAGAATCAGACACCATTACACAAAGCAGCACAAAATGGTCACAAGGATGTTCTTAAGACTCTTGCACAACAACGCCGATATTAATGCTTTAGATGAGGATAATTGGATACCATTACACCATGCAGCAGAAAACGGTCACAAAGAGATTGTTGAAGCCTTATTAAAAAAAGGAGCAATAGTTGACGCTCAAAATATGGGCAATAGGACACCATTACACATAGCAACATTCTATGGTCACAAAGATTATTTTGAGACCTTATTAAACAACAAAGTCAATGTTGATTCTCAAGATAAGAACAATAAGACACCATTACATTATGCAGTATTCCTAGGTAACAAGGATGTTGTTTGGACTTTATTAAACAATAAAGCTGATGTTAGTGCTTCATATAAGAACGATTGGACAGCATTACATATAGCAGCAGAATATGGTCGCAAAGAGGTAATTGATTTTCTGTTAAACCACGAACCCTAAGCCAATATTAATGCTCCAACTAAAAAGAATTAAACCTCTTTACACCGTGCAGCATTGAGTGGTAATAAGGAGATTGTGCAAATTTTATTAGATAAAGAAGCCATAGGTAATGCTCGAGATAATAAAGATAGGACACCGTTGCACTTAGTAACACATAATGGTTACAAGGAGGTACTTGAGATTTTATTAAATAATAAAGCTAATAATAATGCCAGAACTAAGGACAATAATACACCATTACACTACGCAGCATACTATGGTCACAAGGATAATGTTCAGACTCTACTAAAAAACAAAGCCGATGTTAATGCTCTAGATAAAATGAATCGGACACCATTACACAAGGCAGCACATAATGGTCACAAGGATGTTGTTAAGAATCTATTGCACAACAACGCCGATATTAATGCTATAGATAAGGATAATTGGATACCATTACACCATGCAGCAAAAAACTGTAACAAAGAGATTGTTGAAGCTTTAATAAATAAAGGAGCAATAGTTGATGTTTGAGATAAGTATGATTGGACATCATTACACCTAGCAACATTCTATGGTCAGAAAGCCCGTGTTGATTCTCAAGATAAGGAAAATATGACACCATTACATTATGCAGCATTCGTAGATAACAAGGATGTTGTTTGGACTTTATTAAACAATAAATCCTATTTATTGGTAGGGATGATTGGACACCATTACACATAGCAGCAGAAATTGGTCGCAAACAGGTAATTGAAATACTGTTAAACCACGACCCTGAAGCCAATATTAATGCTCTTACTAAAGAGAAGTGGGCACCTTTACACCGTGCAGCATTGAATGGTCATAAGGAAATTGTGCAAATTTTATTAGATAAAAGTGCCATAGTTAATGCTCGAGATAATGAAGATAGGACACCTTTGCACTCAGTAACACTAAACGGTTACAATCAGGTTGTTGAGATTCTATTAAATAATAAAGCTGATATTAATGCCAGAACTAAAGGGAATAATACAACATTTCACTACGCAGCAAACTATGGTCACAAGGATAATGTTGAGACTCTACTAAAAAACAAAGCCAATGTTAATGCTCTAGATGAGGAGAATCGGAAACCATTACACAAGGCAGCACAAAATGGTCACATGGATGTTGTTGAGACTCTATTACACAACAAAGCCAATATTAATACTCTAGATAAGGAGAAATGGATGTTGTTGATGTTTTTGCGAATCTTAATTTTCAGTAAATCGAGTTTTGAATGATTTGATAATAAAATGAGATTTGAGTATTGCAGAAAAATAAAAAATTTGATTCTGAAGTGCTTCAAAACTCGGCTAACAAATAATAATACAAATTAGTTTCAATTGTTCAGTACTTTATCATAATTATTATCTTTATTATTGTTTAGCATTAGTATATGTTTAACATAGTAGTTTTTTAAGTTTTACACCGTGACGTTTTGTATCATATCATAAATACACCAAAAAAAAACAATTGTCAGCAAAGGTTGTTTTTCTGATATTTATTTATTCTATTATAAGGTATTGATATTGCAAAATAATTAATTATAGAAGTAGAAAACATGCAAAAAGAAATTTTAGGACAGAAACATGTAGACACAATTTCTACTAAATACTGGATTGCTAAGTGTTTGTATAAAAAAAAAAACATTTTAATGAAACGGAAAAAATTTTTTAAGAAGTAAATGTTTTGCGAAAGGAGATTTTAGAAGGAAACCACGAGTATACAATAAAAACAAAATATGGGATTGCAATATGCTTATACGACAAAGAAGAATTTAATGGCGCTAAGCAGTTATATATAGAAGTTGGAAACGTTCCAAAACGGTGTTTTAGAAGAGAAACATGTTGATGCATCTAGTTCTAAATACAGGGGTGCGAGATGTTTTTATAATAAAAATCAGATTAGGAAGGCTAAAAATTTACTGAAAGAGTTAGAAACACTACGAAATGAAGTTTTAGGAGAGGAACTTTCGAAAGCAATGAAGTCTAAATTCTGGATTGCCAAATGTTTGCATGAAAACAAACCTTTTGTCGAAAACGGAAAGTTTATAAGGGAAATAGAAATCATTCAAAATAAAATTATAGGTGAGAAACATCTAGATACAATAAACACTAAATACTGGATTTCAAGATGCTTATATGAAAAATATCAGTTTGATGATGCAAATATCGTATTAAGAGATGTTTATAATATGCGAATGGATTATTTAGAAGATAAACATGCGGATACATTGAAATCAAAATACTGAATTGTAATATGTTTGTTAAAGAAGAATAAATTTGATGATGCTGAAAACTTATTAATTACTTATATAAATTTAAGGTAAGTGGATAAAAATTAAAAAGCACTTTGGAATCTCCTAATACATCTGATGATATACACAAGTTGTTACTTTATTCAGCACCAAAAGACTTAAGGAAAATTATTGCTTCTTTGCGTGATTCGTTATAACATGCTCACACATTTACATAGAAAAAAAATTTAAAAATTGTAAGAATCTGGAGCTTTTAAATAAAACTCAAAATGATCTTCAAAAGATTAAGATAGAAATCATTGATATACTTTATAAAAAGAAAGTTGACTAAATTAAAATATTTTTGAACCAAATTATTAACAATGAATGTTTGCCAGAGTTTAATAAACTTATTAACAGTCTTAATAAAGCTAAGTTAGGGGAAATACAATTAGAAATTAGTAATATAAAAGAATTAGCAAGAACAATAGAATTAATCAAAGAAATAAATAATAAAATCAAGGACCGGACTGAACAAGAACAAGATTAATTTGATTAGATTAAAGAAACTATCGACTGACAGGAAATTTGATTGACAAAGGTTAAAACTAGTTTCTTAGAGGTATTGTCAACGTTATATAATTTAATAACTCTCAGTAGTAATAATCTTAAAACTATCCAAAACTTATATAGATAAGCTAAAGTTACAAACACAACCTGAGAAGCTACAAGAAATTGTACAATTGGGCAAACAGAGTTCTGTCAATATTACACTAAGGAAACAAAGTAATGAGTCAAATATAATAAATGAACTACTAAATAATATATTTTTTACTTTTGAATTAGAAGCAGGAAGGCTTAAAGGAATCAGTGCATTTAAAGAAAGGTTAAAAAAAACTAAATGATCAAGAAGTGATCGAGAAAAACGGAGGTTTTAATTTTCGGTGATAATGAAAAGAAGATAGACAATGCAAAAGATAATGTAAAGTTTCGTGAAGGATTAAAAGCTGTAAAACAGATTTATGAGATGAAACCAAAACTTAAAGCTCTATTTAGTAAGTTAAAAGATCCTAAAATCAAACAAGACTCAGAATAGAAGAATAAGTATAAACCTTTTGTTAAGCCGCTTTGGTCTAACAAAATGGAAAAAAAGATATTAAAGAAACAAAATGAATTAAATAAAGTATTTAAAACTGCTAAGTGTGATGAGTGTGAAAAAATAAATATGTGTGAAAAATTAGTAGGTAAGGTACGAGATAGTTACCAAATTTTACTTAATTCCGTAAACAATGCTATAGATAGCGTAAAGTATGATGATAAGTCTGAATCTTTTAAAAGTTTTGTTAAATCTTTTAAAGTTATTACTGATAATAAGGGTCTAGCAGATAAGTTATATAGAATTATTGACAACATTTTTAAAGAAAATACTGAACAAGTGAGTACAAGATTAAATGCATTAAAGCGGTTATTGCCTGGTAATAATTTGAAATTTATACAAAAATATAATCAAAGTAAAAAGTTATAAGCAGCAGTAATAATGCTAGTTTTGAATTTAGAAGAAACTATAGAAAACAACTCGTTTTTTGGAAAAAATAGGCTGTTTTTTGATAAGGATTCTCCGATTTTATTAGGAAAATCTTTACGTAACTATTTAACCGTTGGTGTTGCTCTAACGCAACACCAACGCTTTACTATTTGATCCATCAATAGCAATTATTTCTAATGCTTAAAAATTTATTTTAGAAGGATAGGATTTGTTTGCGAAAAAAGATTGTTAAAACTTTATTGGATAAAGAAGCCATAGTTGATACTCTCAATAAGGGTGATGGGACACCGTTATACGTAGCAACATTCTATGGTCACAAAGATATTATTGAGACCTTATTAAACAACAAAGCCGAAACTAATGCTTTAGTTAAGGAGAATTGGACACCATTACACATATCAGCAGGAAATGATCACAAGGATGTTGTTGAGACTCTATTACACAACAACACCGGGGTGGATACTAGAACTTATAAGAATAATACACCATTATACTATGCAGCATTCAACGGTCTCAAGGAAATTGTTGAGACCTTATTAAACAACAAAGCCGATATTAATGCTTTAGATAAGAAGAATTGTACACTATTACACATGGCAGCACAAAATGGTCACAAGGATGTTGTTGAGACTCTATTGCACAACAACGCCGATATTAATGCTTTATATGAGAAGAATCGGACATCGTTACACTATGCAGCATTTAACGGTCATTAAGAAATTGCTAAAATTTTATTTGATAAAAAAGCCATAGCTGATGCTCTAAATAAAAGAAATGGGACGTCGTGGCACGTAGCAACATATTATGGTCACAAACATATTATTGAGACGTTATTAAACAAAAAAGCCGATGTTACTGCGTAAAAGATTATTGGACAGCTTTACCATACAGAACAAAATGGTCAGAAGGATGTTGTTGAGACTCTTTTGTACAACAACTCCGATGTTATTGCTTTAGATGAGGAGAGTCGGTCAGCGTTACACTATGCAGCATAAAAAAAGGTCAAAAAGAAATTATTAAAACTTTTTCAGATATAGGTGCCATAGTTGATGCTCTAAATAAGGGGGATGGGACGCCGTTATACGTAGCAGTATTCTATGTTCACAAAGATAATATTGAGACCTTATTAAACAACAAAGTCGATGTTAATGCTCTAGTTATCGAGGATTAGACACCATTACACATACCATCACGAAATGGTTACAAGAATGTTGTTGAGTCTCTATTACACAACAACACTAAGGTGAATACTAGAACTTAGGAGATTAATACACCGTTACACTACGTAGCATTCAACGGACTTAAGGATATTGTTGAGACATTATTAAACAATAAAGCCGGTGTTAATGCTCTAGATAAGGGTATTTGAACACTATTACACATGGAAGCACAAAATAGTCACAACAATGTTGTTGAGATTCTATTACACCTCAACTCTAAGGTGGATACTAGGACTATGGAGAATTATACACCATAACTCTAGGCAGCATTCCATTGTAACAAGAAGATTGTTGAGACTCTATTAATTAATAAAGATGATGCTAATGCTTCAGGTAAGGATAATTGGACACCATTACACAGCTCAAAATGATCACAAAGATGTTGTTGAGACTCTATTATACAACAAAGCCAATATTGATGCTTTAGTTAAGGACAACTATACACCGTTATACCATGCAGCAAAAAGAAGTTACAAGTAGATTGTAAAAAATTTTATTGGATAAAGGAGCCATAGATGATGTTCAAGATAATGAAGATAGGACACATTTGCACTTAGTAACACAAAACGGTTACATGGAGGTGGTTGAGATTCTAACAAATAATAAAGCTGATATTAATGCTGGAACTATGGAGAATAATACACCATTACATTATGCAGCATTCCAAGGTAACAAGAATGTTGTTGAGACTCTATTAAAACACAAAGCTAGTGCTAATGTTCTAAATAAGTATAAAAAAACACCTTTGCACTAAGCGGCTGTTCAAGGTTTTTTGATATCGTTCAATTGTTGATAGATAAAAATGCTAATACTTGTGCTCAAGAAAAGGATGGCAAAACAGCTTTGCACATTGCTACCCAGTGTAATAGGTTAGATATTTTCAACTTGTTGGAGTGTCAGTTACTTAAACAAAAAAACGTAGAATCACAAGCTTTAGAAGCACAAAATTATCATTAGCATTTTAATATTCAAAAGATGCAGAATATTAAAATGCTAATGATTATTTTAAAGCAATCAAAAAATATAATGAAGCAATCAGATCAGCTTCCTGAATCTGCTCTTTACCTAGATAGTAAAACAACGCTGTTGTTTAATAGAGCTAGAACTTTTGATTCAAAGTCTCCTTTTGAATTAAAAAGAAGACTTACAGGCAGCTATAAGTGACTATCAAACAACTCTTGAGCTTAATGTTAATGGAGTGCACCATAAAGCTTAGAGTTATATTATTATTATTCAAACGGTAGAAGATGTTATTACTCAAGTGGTGGAAGATGTAGCACGAGAAATGCTTCTGGGAGAGGTACCTGATATTATATACAGTTATTAAATGGGGAAATCAAATTTTAATGGTATGACTTCTGTGAAAGAAATATTACACTCGTAAGTTGCCTTAATAAACTTCTGTAAGGGAATAAAATATACGATATAAAAATAAAAAATAAAGTAAAATCCCTGAGAAACATGTTATATATCAATGCCTATGTCTTTCAGGAAACGACAGGAAAAACTTTTTTTAAAAATATTAGGTATATTGGAAAAAATATTGCCTAGTTTTTATATAGTTTGTCCGTCAAAAATTTACAAAGATGATAAGCTATAGGATTACGGAGTTAAAAATTAGTAGAAAAATCTATAAGAAAATAACCATTTTGATCAAAAATCTCATGGAACTAGCTGAAAACTGTTTTTATGAAATTTTTTCAAATTTGGGAAAAAGGTCTCATTTTGGTAAAAAAAAGCCTAAACTTTTACAAAAATTGTGAAAATGACAACTAAAATCTTCAAAATTTTGGAAATTAACTGTTAAAATTTTGGTTTTTAGAGTTTTGACGGAACAACTTTGTAATAAAAAGCTTGCAAAACCATTTTAACTAAGCCAATAAACTATATTTTGATTTTAAGACGACAAATTCTGGGATAAATTATTCGTATCATTAAAGCAATCTAAAGCTTCTAATTGAAATATCATAAAGGTAGGAGGTGAAGAGATCAGAAAACTCATTCTTTAAGTTTGTGAGATCAAAACTTTAACGAGATGAGCTTTTCCAAGAAACAACGATGCTGCCTATAAAGCTAAGTTTGCTAAGGAACTGCATATATTTCATTACTTTGAGCTTTAAGTTATCTTCGTTAGTTGGTAGTTGTTGATTTAAATCTTCTAATGTTTTTAAATCTTTCAATCATGCAAATTATTTCTATCAGATTCAGCATAAAACATTCTTGCTTTTTTTTATGGAAGTGGAGAGGTATGATTTACACTGTTAGCCTGAATATTAGCCTTTTTACTTAATTACTTTTTTCCTTTTTCCTTAACAGTATTATGTGATAAAAGTTGATCCTTTGTTATATTCATATCTTGCTCAATTTTTATTACGAAATTAGGATTTTTTCAGTTTATAACTATTTAATAAATTCTTTATTGCTAAAACCATAACATATTTTTTGATGCTAATTGCATTTGGAGCTACTCTTGCTCTCTAATTTTGATCTCTAATTTTTCCTATATCTTCTTGAATCAAAATTTCCAAATAATTTGGATCTCTAATTTTTCCTATATCTTCTTGAATCAAAAACATCATTTCAATTATGATTTAAAAGAATCAATAGATGTGCTAAATAAGTAGAGTCATATCGATCCCGATACATGTGCCGAAGTTAGTGCGTAGAAATATTTTTTAAAGAAAATCATCGAATTTAGAAAAGGTCTTTATCGTGAGAAGTTAGAAAATAAGTATTTGAAAATGTGTGTTGAGAAAACAACGTTAGAAGCAATTTTTTTATATGAAAGAAAACAATTTGATAATGCAAAATTGATATTAACAGAAGTAGAAAACATGCAAAAAGAAATTTTAGGACAGAAACATGTAGACAGACTTACTACTAAGTACTGGATTGCTATGTGTTTTTATAATAAAAAAACATTATGTTGAGGCGGAAAAAATATTTACAGAGGTAAATGTTATGCGAAAGGAGTTTTTAGGAGAGGACCACGAGGATACAATAAAAACAAAACGTTTGATTGCAATATGCTTATACGACAAAAAAGAATTCAATGGAGCTGAACAGTTATAGATAGATGTTGAAAAGATGTAAAAAGGTGTTTTAGGAGAAAAACATGTTGATACATTTAGTACTTAAACACTGGGTTGCGAGATGTTTGTATAATAAATATTAATTTAATGAAGCTGAAAAATTACTGAAAGAATTACAAACTATACGAAAAGAAGTTTTAGGAGAGGAACATACAGATACAATGAATTTTATATTCTGGATTTCTAGATGCTTGTTTGAAAAAAAAACAATTTGTTGAAACGGAAAGGTTCTTAACAAAAATAGAAATCGTACAAAATAAATCTTTAGGAGAGAAACATCTCAATACAATAAATGCTAAAAAATGAATTGCAAGGTGCCTATATAATAAAAAGCAATTAAATGACGCTAAAAAGTTATTTACAGATGTAGAAAATTTACAAAAAGAAGTTTTAGACGAAAACTCCGAAGGTCAACTAAATACTAAATACTGTATTGCAAGATGCTTATATGATAAATATCAGTTTGATGATGCAGAAAATTTATTAAGAGATGTTTATAATATGCAAATGGAACAATTAATAATATGCAAATAAATGGAATAATATGCAAATGAACAATGGAATAATATGCAAATGGAACAATTAGGAGATAAACATGTGGATACGCTGAATTCTAAATTCTGGATTGGAAGTTGTTTGTATAATAAGAAAAAATTTGTTGATGCTGAAAGCATATTAATAGAAGTTAAAAATTTTCAAAAAATTGTTTTTAGTTCTAAACAAGTAGAAACAATAAATACAAAGTTCTGGATAGCAAGATGCTATTTTAAAAATAATCAATTCGATGTTGCATAAGTATTGTTAAGGGGAATGGAAAATACACAAAATGAAGTTTTTGGAATGAAAAACGAGGACATAATAAATACTAAACACTGGAATGCGATGCACTCATATTGTAAAAAGCAATCGATCACGCATAAAAGTTATTAACTGATGTTGAAATTATGTGAAAAGAAAGTTTAGGTAAAAAACACGTGGATAAATTAATATCGAAGTTCTGGATTGCAAGATGCTTATATGACAAAAAACAATTCAATAATGCTGAAAAAATATTTCAAAATGTTGAAAATTTGCAAGAAGTAATTTTAGGAGTGAAAGATGCGGATACATTAACTTCTTAGTTTTGGATAGCAAGATGCTTATACGATAAGAAGCAAAATAATAAAGCAAAAATTTTATTCAACGAAACTGAAATTTTCCAAAAAGAAGTTTTAAGTAATGAAAATGGGGACACACGAAGTTCTAAATATTGGATTGCAAGATGTTGGTACGAAGAAAAACAGTATGATGCCGCAGAAATATTACTTAAAGAAGTAGAAGCTCTAGAGAATAATGGTTTAGGAATGAAGCATGAAGACTCACTTACTACTAAATACTGGATTGCGAGAATATTGTATGATTAAAAACAAATTAACGAAGTAGAAAAATTATTTAGTTATGTAGAATAAATGCAAAATGAACTTTTAGGAATCAAACATGTAGACACACTTAATTCTAAATATTGGATTGCGATATGTTTATATGATAAATCACAATTTGATGACGCAGAAAAGTTGTTGAAAGAAGTAGAAATTTTGCAAGAAGAAGTTTTAGGAAAAGAGAACCAGAACACACTGATTACTAAATATTAGATTGCAAGTGCATTGATAAAAAAGGATTCAAATAATAAAAAAAAAAAATTGTCTTTTTTTTCATATTTTAGTTATTATTATTTTAGTTCTTTTAAAAATTGTAATTTTTATATATTATTAGAATTGATTTAAAGTATTTTTAATTAGAAATCTGCTAATCTGGAAACTAATTAAATAAATTTAATTAATTGATGATCTGGTAATTTTACTAATGACTAATTAATAAAAAAATTTTTTCATGTTTAAATAATCTTTGTAATTTAAAAAACAAAGGCTTAGTCGTTTATTCAAAAATAAAAATAAATTTTAGAAATTTTAACATTACCTTTAAATAAGTAAAGGAAACATTTAATTGCAAAAATAAAATCTATTAAAAATATTTTTTTTTAACCAAATTTAATTTTTTTCGCAGATGTTTGTAAATATTCATACCCATATTAAAAAGTTGTGTTAATATTTATCATCAGAATTTTTGGTTTTTGTTGTCATTATTATTATTACCACTATAACTATTATTGTTATTATTATTGTTATTAGTATTATTCTTTTTATTGTTACTATTATTATTGTTATTATTTCTATAATAATTATTATTACAATAATAATAATAATAATAATAATAATAATAATAATTATTATTATTATTATTTTTATTATTATTGTTATTTTCAGCTGGTTTCATGTAAAGTACATTAGATACTGCGAACATGACTTTTTCAATTATAATTTTTTTAATATAATTTTTTTTTGTCTGTTTTATGCAGTCAATGTTTTGAATTAGTTGAAAATTATTTCAAATCAATTTTTTTTTTTATTTATTTGTTAAGAATCGCATATCAGAGAACGTAAAGTGCCTTAATTTGATGGTTGTTGAGTTTATAATGTTATAGTTTAAACTAATTTGTTTACAACAAAAAGTATTTTATTTTTTTGCCAGATAATAAACGGTGAAAACCATAGAAAAATTCTAATGTTTTTTATTTAAGAAACCGCTTTTGCTTTTGAAACCTAAATCATTTTTGAATTTAACTTGAGTTTTTTGTTTTAAGAATGAATAGATTTTTAAATGTTTTGAATGTTATTGTAAAGTTAAAACTCAAATTATCAATTTTTCAATTTAGTTTTTTATTTTAATGAGACTGAAAGGTTTAAAGGTTTATTCACTTTGTGAATAGTAAAAAGTGAGGTTAAGTTCTTCAAAGATTGGAGAGCTTAACATCACTTTTATTATGTT